TGAACCGCTGAACTGCTGATCTAGCAGTAGCCTGCAGTGCTGCATTTAACCACTGCGCCACCTTGGCTCATAATAACATAATAACAAGCAGGGAAAATGTGTGGGATGGAACAGATGTTCACTTTGGCTTAGATAACCATTTGTCTGAAGTGATATAAAGTTTCCTGCCTTAGAAGGAAGACCTCCAAGAGGTCCCTTCCAACTCTTCTATTCTATTCTATTCTATTCTATTCTATTCTATTCCATCTCATCCCATCCCATCCCATCCTATCCTAGACAGATCCCAGATCAAGAGCCAGACACCGTTACAAAACATGCTTCCTTAGGAGAAGAAAACCCCCTCAATCAATGCATCTCAAAATACGGCCCCATCTTTCCAACTCAGTTGTTACTTCCTCTTATTTGGCCCCACTTTGGACTGCCTTACATGGTTTAAATAAAGAAACAAGCAAGTTGCAAGCACGTGCTTTCGAACTGCTAGGTTGGCAGAAGCTGGGAGCTCACTCCGTTAGGTGGCACCAGGGATTCGAACTGCCGAACTGTCGACTTCCTGAGCGACAATCTCAGCCTCTTAGCCCCTGAGCCACAGCGTCCCCTTCAGTAAATAATCAGTAAATGATTATTTACTGAAGTATAAAGGGGGAATTTCACTTTTTTTCCTGCTTTTTTCTGCTGTGGGCTCTGTATGCTGTTTAATTTACCGCACGATATTCCTGTGTTCATATCTTGTCTGCTACAAATATAACTGATATCTATATTTATTTATATAAAACTATAAGTTTGTGTCAATGTCTCCCAATTCATTCAGACCTCTCCTGTGCAATTCCCTGAAAGTTGGGCACTCCTGAAGTTAACTTTCCATCGGGAACTGGCAATCCCCCATCTTCCCTCACATTTTTAGATAATCAAGCACCATTTATTATCTGAAGTCCCTGCTAACGGGCTGAAATAAATTTTAGGTTCATATTGGGACTGTGAAGAGAAGAAAACCCATCATCATAACCTCATATTGATACAGAAGAGAACAGAATAACAGAGATGGAAGGGACCTCGGAGGTCTTCTAGTCCAACTCCCTCGCACAGACAGGAAACCCTACACCACTTCAGACAAATGGTTATCCAATCTCTTCTGGAAAGCTTGCAACGTCCTACAAATAGCACAGAGCCTGGAGAAACCAAATTATTAAAGCCTTTGGTCCACTTTTAAACTTTGATTCCCAAGAAAGTAGCCAGGAACCCTGCATTAAACCCAGCCCCTCACTCCTTTTGAAGCCTGTCAATCTTACATCGTCAAGAATTGGATTGGGAGAAGTTTTTTTTAAAAAAAAGAATTTCTGACAGCAGGTAAATTACAAAAATCAGTCAATCCATACTGTATCTTCAGGTCTGGAAGATCAGAAAGCTCTTGATTTTACTACATGGAACTTCGGGTGTTTCCATATTCAGGACCTCATCTATTTTAATAACCTAGGCTGCGTTAATAGAGGGATAGAATCAAGATCGCGTGAAGTGTTAATACCCCTTTATAATGCCTCAGTAGAGACCACGCTTGGAATACGGCATCCAGTTTTCTCTGCCACAATATAAAAAGATGTGGAGACTCTAGAAAGAGTGCAGAGAAGAGCAACCAAGATGATTAGGGGACGGGAGGCTAAAACATAGGAAGAACGGTTATTAAAATAGATGAGGTCCTGAATATGGAAA